ATAACCTTCAGGAGGAAATAAAGATTACAACTCTAATTTCTTTAGGTGAATTTAAAACACTTAAAAGATGGAGAAAATGTAACTGCTTTACACACGGAATCATCCCAACCGGTTATGTTGAAAGACTTTGTAACTCTGTCGTTTACTCGATCCATCATTAAGCTTTTGTTGTAACGTGTGAATATGTGCAATTCCCTGCATTATTCTTGTTCTGCCTCCCTGAACCACGACTTTCTTGGAAATGAGATTTGATATCTCAATGAGTTTTTACTTGGTTGAAAAAAGGAATAATATCCATTCACCCATTATCTTCCGCTGATCCAGGGTCAAGTCGAAGGGGCAGTAGCCTAAGCAGAGACGCCAAGACTTCCCTCTTCCCAGCCACTTGGGCCAGCTCCTCCGGGGGAATCCCAAGGTGTTCCCTGGCCAGGTGAGATACATAGTTTCTCCAGCATGTCCTGGGTCTTCCTTTAGATCTCTTCCCATTTGCACGTGCCTGGAATACTTCACCAGGGAGGCATCCTGATCAGATGCCCAACCAACTTCAACTAGCTCCTCTTGATGTGGAGCAGCTGATCTACTCTGAGCCCCTCCCAGATGACCAAGCTTCTCACCCTAGCTTTAAGGGTGAGCCCAGCCACCCTGTAGAGAAAACTTCGTAATCTAATCCTTCCGGTCACTACCCAAAGCTCTTGACCAAAGATGACGATCGGAACGTAGATTGACCGGCTCAGCTCTCTCTTCACCACGACAGACTGGTGCAACGCCCGCATCACTGCAGCACCAATCCACCTATCAATCTCAGGCTCCATCTTTTCCTCGCTTGTGAACAAGACCCCAACATAATTAAACTCCTAAACTTGAGGCAGGACCTCATCCCTGACCTGGAGAAAGCATTCTACCCTTTTCCAACTCAAGACCATGGTCTCGAATTTAGAGAAGCTTTATTCTCATTCTAGCTGCTTCACACTTGACTGCAAACCAATCCAGCGAAAGCTGGAGATCACAGTCTAATGGGCTCGACACACGGGAGGCGACATCGCCTCTCCTCCATCCATTTTCAATGAAACATGCGCAATCGCAGGTCTCCCTCCTACTAAGCGAAACGCGAAAAACTTGCGTGTGAAATTTTGCGCTCGTGCACGTGTCGTGCACAGGTGACCCAGCGACGCGATCCCAGAAAGTTGAAATACTTTCAACTTTTCATTGCTGTCGCTCAAACAAGGACCAATCAACGGAGGTTTCATTCACTGACCAATGAGCAGACAGGATGCTCCGTACATCTCCGAGCAAACATGAAGGAGAAGTTGATTATTATTATGTTCTATATAGTAAAATCAGAAGTAAGATTTCACATAACTCTAGCAGCACCTTGTGAAACATCATATCTACCACTTTATTAACTCTGAACCGCTTAAATAACCTTAATTCCCTCCAACCTGACACAGCCAAACAAAACAACGGAAGTTTCAATTTTGCCATAGAACAGAACGCGTAGACGGCTTTGCCGCTGGCCGCTGCCGCGGGTCGCCTCCCGTGTGTCAGGTAATAAAAGCGACAGCGACAAATTTTGCTGATCGCGGTCGTTTGTCGCCTCCCGTGTGTCGAGCCCCTAATGATGTCAACAGGACCAAATCATAAACAAATAACAATCTTTTTTAATGAATACCACACAGCCAGCAACACAAACATAAATAACAATGGAGCTTGGATATCTGTGAGTAGAGCCCTGCACAGGCCTAAAATCTGAGCCCGTGTCCGGCCCGGCCCGAGGGGGTGGAGCCCCAGCCCGACCCGGTCCGAGGGGGTGGGGTTTTTTTAACTGCAGAGCGAATTTATTCACAGAAAAATAGAACAAATGGTTTCTGACATATCAAAGTGGGCATAAAATGGCATATTAGAATAGGGGCACATGTTTCAATCAGCAGTTTGAGAATTCCTTTATATAGGCGCATTTATAAACCACACAGACCTTAACTGAGCTAACAGGTGCCGGTGCATGAGAAGCAGGCAGGTGCTGCTGCGTTCAAGTGTTTCAGTTTTTTTTTTATGAATTCGATTAAAAATAAAGGCGCCCGACCCGTGGGCCTAGGGCTTCAGTGCAGGGCTCTATCTGGGAGGGGCTAGGGGTAGAGTCACTGCTCTTTCAGCTTTGACAGGTCAGCAGTGGTTCTATGTAAATTTTAAATAGTGTGATGTCACTTTTTGAAATGGCTTAGTTTTACGCATAAAATTCCTAAAACCAAGCACTGACTTAAAACAGATATATGGATTTTATTCACGTTTGGAGTGTGAGGCAGAACAGATACACACTGCAGTGCAAAAAGATGCAAAATGTGAGTTTAGTATAACATGTCTCCTTTAAAGTAGCAATATACACTCACTGGCCTCTTTATTGGGTACACCTGTCCAACTGCGTGTTAATGCAAATTATTAATCAGCCAATCACATGGTGGCAACTCAATATCTTCTGGGACTGTCACATACAACCATCTCTAGGGTTTACAGCGAATGGTCCGAAAAAGGGAAAACATCCAGTGAGCAGTCATGTGGGTGAAAATGCCTTGTTGATGCCAGAGGTCAGAGGAGAATGACCAGACTGGTCTGAGCTGGTAGAAAGGCAGCAGTAACTCAAATAACCACTTGTTACAACCAAAGTGTGCAGAAGAGCATATCTGAACAACACACAACACGTCAAATCTTGAGGCAGATGGGCTACAGCAGCAGAAGACCACACCAGGTGCCACTCCTGTCTGCTAAGATCAGGAAACCGAGGCTACAATTTGCAAAGGCTCAATAAAATTGGACAATAGAAGAGTGGAAAAACGTTGCCTGATCTGATGAGTCTCAATTTCTTCAGCGACATTTGGATGGTAGGGATAGAATTTGGCGTCAACAACATGAAAGCATGGATCCATCCATCCATTAACGGCTCAGGCTGATGGTGTAATAGTGTGGGAACATTTTCTTGGCACACTTTGGGCGCCTTAGTAATAATTCATCATTGTTGCAATGCCACAGCATACCTGAGTATTGTTGCTGACCATGTCCATCCCTTTATGACCACAGTGTAACCATCTTCTGATGGCTACTTCCAGCCATGTCATTAAGCTTGAATCATCTCAGACTGGTTTCTTGAACATGACAGTGGGTTCACTGTACTCAAATGGCCTCCACAGTCACCAGAACTCAATCCAATAGAGCACCTTTGGGATGTGGTGGAACAGCGAATTTGCATCATGGACGTGCAGCCAACAAATCTGCAGCAATTGCATGATTCTATCATGTCAACGTGGACCAAAATCTCTGAGGAAGGTTTCCAGTACCTTGTTGAACATGTGTCACAAAGAAATAAGGCAGTTCTGAAGACAAAAGGGGGTCAGCCCAGTACTAGTAAAGTGTACCCAATAAATTGGCCAGTGAGTGTATAAGAATTCTATAGTGAAATATTCACAAAACAGTTAAAACAATGTCAATCATGTTGGAACAGATTCCCTTCTTAGCCGGCTGCGGTTTGTCAGTTTTTCTCCTATCTATGAGCTTGCGAGGTTGCTGAGTCTATGCTGAGCTAACACCGCAGAGCCGGTATTGGTAATTCGACAACAGCTGGCAAAAAGATCCAGAGTTGTTTAAAGAATCGAAGCCAGTAAACGGGAGCAACCCAGAATAAGCCACAGCATCTTTTTTGGTTTACGCTGACATCGGGTGAAGAAGGCTAGAGGCTAACATTGAGCTAACAATGCTAACAATGAATTGGAAACTCTACGTTCACACTGCAGGGCTAGATGCTCAATTCCTATTATTTGAGTAAATACGATTTTTGTTTTGGTGAGGCTGTTCACATTCTTACTGAAATGCAGCATCAAACTCTCTCCTTCGCGGCCCCAAAGCGGCCCACATGTGCAGAAGAAAATAAGTCACACTCGGAACCAGGAGAGGCGGATTTGTGATGTGAAAACTGACAGAAGTAAGAAAGGCTTTTGCCTGCAGTGTGAACATTGCCATACTGGGCTATGAAAGTATCTCAAGCTACTTGTTCAATTACTAACAACTCAGTTTTAAGATGACATATATTTTTGAAATGAATAATGAGTCAATTAAGTTTTACTTCCTTTACTGTATAATTTAGAGCTATAACAGCAAGCTAACAGAAAGATGGCAAACAACCACACTTCCCCCAATACCAGAGTCATACCACCATAGTACTCCCTACCATAAAACACCAAAGAGTGCCAACATCAGATATGACAATGTATTTAGCTACTTATAACTTACTGTTTATGTCGTCTTTGTCATCTAGAAACTTCTGGCGCTGAACCGTAATTAGCAACAGTTGCTCAGAGCTGACTCCTTTATTTTGATACATGGACTGCAGTACCCTGATCTGACCATGATTTTATTCGTACTTCATGACCCTTTAAAATGTTTTAAAGGTGTGGAACACTGAAAATACATTGTTTGAAAGTAATTTCTGATTATAATGAAGTCTAACATGCAGGCTGAACATGAAAACAGTCTCCTACACCTATCTCCTGCAATAGCTTCTGAGAGAAAATAGACCGTGAAACGTTAAGATTTGAAAAGCCTGATAAATCCACATCACACTGTCTCTTAAAATCCATGGACTCACCCATCTTGGCTCACAACAGGGAGGACTGTTCTGATTTTGCAGCTGAGAGCAGAGCACGTCTTGGTTAGTAGAAGCTAACCATTAGCATTAGCAGCTTGAACACACAGCAGAACACCTCCAGGCTTGGGTTATTTGTGGAGATGGAACATCCATGTTGCAGAGCAATCTGAGTCAGTTGCTTTCATCCAATCCGAATCGAGATGTCCAAATATCGGTAAAAATAAAAAAACTCCAAATTCTGCCATGCTAAGCTCTCTTACTTACTTATTAAAATTACAAATAACAGATGCTACAAGTAAGGAGCATCTTTGAACATATCAATTTAAATACCTGATAGGATTAATGTCTTTCCTAAATATTTTTCACAGACCTTGACCAAGTGCAGCAGCTGATGGAGGTCCTCCACCTCATCTCCCTCTGTTTTGCTGTAGTCTCTGCTGGTGTCCAGACTGGAACCCTGGATGATGTGTCTATAAAGAGGCAGGTCCATAGCATCAGCGTACAGCTCTATGCCCTGGTGGCCCACCGTCTGGTACATGTAGCTGTCCAGCTCATCTATTGTATAAGAAACAATAAGTATGTGAATCATGTGATTGCAAAAAAAAGGATGAAGTCTCAATGAAAACTTGTCTGAAAAAATAGCACACATATGTCACGAAAGCTGCTTCTGCATAACCATAAACAACAGCTAATCTATGTGGATTATTTTAAAGATAAAATCATAATTTTCTTACCTGTTTGAGCTGGACGCAGGTTGGCCAGAGCAACAATTTGGTGTCCAGCAGCAACACACTGCATCATGTTGTAGCAGCTGTCCTTGCCTCCACTGAAGCACAACAAAATAGGACACATGTACAGAGATAAATCCAAGTTGGAGTCATATATTGACAGTTTGCAGAGTTTGTGGACTGTGACTGTTCAGAAGAGAAACGGTTATGTGGAACCTATCTGCAATTATAGCACGAGAAATTTGACATTTATTAAATAAAACAGAAACCTTGTCATTTGATTTGCCCATCTCTATGAGTAATAACTTCACCCTCGATTACATGCAGCTCTGAAAAGTGACAGGTAAACATTTTCTCTGCTAACGCTAATATCTGCGACAGGAGGCAGAAAGCTGCGGTTACCTTATCAGTGCAACCACTTTCATCTCCGTATATCCGTTTTAGAAGTGTCTAAACGCAAAACTATTGTCTACAATAGCGAGAAGAGTAATAACTTCGCTTAGCAACCGGTGAATGTACATGTGAGAAGTTTTCCGGGTTCAGTCAGGACCCCTTTAGCAAAATAAGATGTCCTTTGATATGCCGGAAAGAAAATCCACCCACTTCTGTCCCCACCTCACTTGATTCAACGTTAAATGAGGAATACTCGCGGGCATTTTACAATAAATAAACATTAACAAAACAGCCTATTAAAATAATTTCAGTACTGCAATTAAGATAATTCAACATAGATTGTTTAAGACCAAGTATTGTAATTTAGAATGGCATTAATTTATTTTTAACCACAAAAATATTAACATGAAACTAATGACTAACAAAAATACTAATGAATTAAAAAAGCTTAAAAATGTAAATATATTTATGTATACTTCACAGTGCTCATTAAAAGGACAAACTGAATAGGCAGAGAAATATAATTTTTATTAATTATTCAGTTAGTTTTTTTATTCATTTATAGACCACTAGATAATGAAGAAATGCATTTATCCTTCAGAAGTTTAGAAATATTCAATTAGGCAATTTTTTCCACTAATAAAGAATATTATTACATCTACATGTAATATCACTGATGGGTGATATAGTAAAAACTTAATTCTGTTATCAATGCATACTGTACCTTTTTAGGACTCAGAAGGTAACATAAAGTCCATGCACTGGTGTTCACACTCACAGGTTGTGCTTTTCCACTGAGGGAGCCCTATTTTGCTCAGAGGAAAGCCTTTGATGCTCCCTTTGCTCTCTGTTGTTGTGCCAGAGCAGAATAATTGCACTGCTTTTGTGTGCTTCCCTCACCTTCTACCCCTAAGCAGGCCAAAGGCAACTGATTCTGTCTGAGAGTACAAAATTGAGAAAGACGTCTTTTCATCCCCTCACTTTAGATTCTCTTTTTTGTTTTTGTTAGTGTTTTTTTTTCTTGATTCAGAATAATTGGAAAGACATACAACCTGCAGATGAGCAAAATTTTAAGTCATGATTCAGGCAGCACAGCCTGCAAACAAAAGTGTGTTTGTAATTATTGGAATGTGGTTTAGCTAAATTTTGATTAAAATAATTAAGGATAACTAACTTGCACCAAAGTATCATTTGATCTACATTTTAAAGATCAAGTTCACTCATTTTTTTTCTACACATTTGCAGTGGTCTCTAGTAAAAATTAATGCCTTGCCAGTCAGTCTCTGGGATAAAAGCTCTGGCGCTCCTGTTTCAGGACGCCATTATGCGTCAGCGCAAGGGCTCTCCGACAGGCTCACAGAGGGTGAGACATGCCCACATTTTTAAATAGTCATCAAAAGTGATGGAGACTGTGAGCTTGTGATTGGTCATTCTTTGACATTCATCAACAGCACCATCAAAAAGTAAAAAGATATTTAGTGAAAAACACAAAACTAATTGAAGAATGCGTTGAGGAAACAGTCAGAAAATATGAATATTTCTTCAGCTAGAAGGAGTACAAATATACGGAGCAAACATTTTATTTGTGGATGGAAATGACTGGAAACAAGGGTTTTGAGTCAAGTTTAGAGGTGGTGAAAACATGAAGAGGTGGAGGAGAATGATGGTCAAATTTGTCCACGGTATAAAGTCTCTGAATTTTCTAATCACATTAGTAAATACACTATCATTGACCGGATGCATCAGCAAAATGGTGGCATGATATCACAGAAAAGTGCTACGCCCTCTGTTGTCCTGGCAGGGATTTGCTTTGCAACACTCCCCAGGTGATGGACAATTCAGAGAGCAAAACATCTCTGTCAATGTGTGTGTTTCTCTCCTGTGCAGAGCTGACGGAGAAGTATACATCAGGCTTAAAGATCTCAGAGCTCTGCTGGGTGTACTGCAAGGAGATCCAACATGTATTTTGACCCCATGTCGTTGAGTGATTTATAAACTATTAGAAGCATTTTGATAACGATTCTGTACTTTACTGGTAACCAGTATAGAGATTTAAGAAGGGGAGTGATGTGCTCGCTTCTCTTGGTTCTTGTTCAGATTCTGTCAGCAGCATTCTGAATAATTTGAAGTTGCTTCAGTTTTTTTTATTTTTTTGGGGGGGAGACCAGCAAATAGACCATAATTAGACTATTAGCCTAAAAAAGACTATCCTTATGTTTAGCATGCATGTGAAACTCATGACTGACAAAACGGTTTCTCAGCAAACTTTGACTTTAAATTTTCTTTTTTTTTCAGTTCTATTTCCTAAAATGTACCTTTCAGCCTAAAAGAACACATTTCTGTTTTATGTATCAAATTTTTGATAAAAAATCAGGTAATTTTTCTTTTAGCTCGTGAAAATACAGTGTTATACTAAACAAATCATAGCCACGCCTAGCTGAAAAATCCAAGAACAATAAGTGAATTTTAAAAAACTTACAAATGCATAAAATAAATGTGGAACATTATTTTAATGAAAGGATGGGTGATACAGTTTTACAAAATGTTCCTTTGACATGTTAGCTTGAAAAATATCCCAATCCCAGGAAAGCCTGGTCGTCCTTCAGTTTGTAAACTTGTTAATACATCACCTCTGTCCTCCAATTCTTTTGAGTTATATTTGTACATCACAGTCTTTGTCCCATGTGTAATTTTTATTAAAAACCATGCTTGTCACGAATGACTAATGCAAATTTACTTTCTTATTGCTTTTAATTTACACAGTTTATTATCTAGACAAATAAAGAGGTGTGTTGTTCACATTTTATTTGTGGCAGCATTTTGCTGACATGTGAGAACGTTTTATGTCCATATTGTTTGTGCGATGGGGATAAAAAGTGTTGATGGATAGCCCAACTGAGACACAGCCAACGGACGTGAATATGAGACGCATAAATATGAAAGCAAGGCAGCAGGAATCAAATGACACCCTTGGCCTTTCTTTAAAGGAGCATGTGAATATGACAGGTGATTTACACGAACACACAAGCTAATTTTTGCTGCACAAGGACACAAAAACTTTGGGTGTAATGAGAAACTAAGGCCTCAAATCACAAGACAATAAATTGAGTGTCAGAACAGGCCAGCCAAGGTTGCAGGCTGAGTGGCCAGAATACAAACTCTCACACACACAGTTTTAGTTGCTTCAACAAAATGATGAAGCATGTGCATTCTCCCAGCTGAAGTGGTGCATCACACGTGCTGCTTTTTAAACAAAACAGATTTGCAAATGTTGGATAGTGATGAGACTTGGGGTGTTTCTCAATGCCAAGGAACCTCGCCTTGATGTCTTGGCCTCGCCTCAGTTGCCTAGGAGATACGTCATCAGGAACCACCAAGACGTGTTCCAATGTTCATGTTCTACCGAGGCGTGTGTTCTCCGTTTGTTAGTCGTTTAGCTAGCTGAGCAAGGATACACGGGAGGTGTCTTGTAGCCTAGCCTTGGTCAAAAATTACCCAGAATACACAGTGGTATTTTCAAAAGGTTGGCGGATCAGAAGCCGGCAGCTACTTCGGGGGCAAATTAGAAGTTTAAAAGTAAGTCAACTAATTTAAAATAGTTTTTTTTAGATCCAAAGAAGTTATTTATGGTTTCTTAGTTGCTTAGTAGTTGCAGCTTCGATGGCTAGCGGGTAGTAACTCGCTTATATTTTTACTTAAACAAACATACACTGAATTTAAAAAGTAAAAGGCTCGTTATATTGAAACTAATACATATAAAATATAACATCTCCCGTGTTACGTGACATTACGTTACCGCCGTGGATGCCGCGGTCACGTGATGCAAGTCTGTTCCATTTAACCGTTTTCTTTGACCAAGGAAGGCCAGTGTCTTCATAAGCAAGGCACCTGGACTTGCAAGACATCACCTCGCAAGGCCGGGCGCCTTGATATTGAGAAACACCCTTGGTAAATCATTGACGTTTTGCTCATCAAAACAGTTCTTTAGGTTTGATTTCCTTTAGAATGATGAAAACGTACTGGCAAATCCACAACAATCTATCGTTGTTAATTGTGAATGCACATAAAGTTTGCTTTAGCCGATGTAATGCAGACAATTGTCCATGTCATGATTATCATCTGCAAAAAAATAAAAAATAAAATTCCGCGTAACTCACATTGAAAAAGCAGTTCGTGTCTATTTAATTTGGACATCAGCTCAAAAAAGAGAGCCTGGGATCCCCCTGAATTTTGTCTGTTTTTGTGAGGTTACCAAGACTATATTTGTAAAAATTACACGTGTAATCCCAGTAACACACCCAAAAGTTTAATCAAAACTCTGTAGAAGAATTATAACTCTGTATGACTGTATACATTTGCAATTCATCACTTTATTGTGTGTATGCTGGTAGGATTTGGGGCCTGTCTTGGATGCAGATGAAGGGGGTCCTCAAGCAAAAAACATTGATGTATACAAACTGAATTCCACATAAAGAGCAAAAACAAAAATCTCATGTTAATTATAGATGAAGCTAAATGAACACTGATGACACCCAAATGTTTTGTTCAAGTAGTGATAAATTTGCAGTCATGTGAGTGATAGCTGGAAGCAGCTCTGTGTATTCTTAACTCCACTCCACTCTGGTGTTTTTCCTCCATCAGGGGCTCATTTTCCACAGAACTATCAGCATAATGATACCTCTTTAGGGCCCCGCAACATCCAAATCAGTTAGTAAACAACTCAAACAGGGATCTGTACACATTTTTACAGACAATTAACTGTTATCACAAGGGCCCAAATGGATTAGTAGACTCATTAATGTCTGTGGCTAATTGCTCCTTGATTGTAAATGTGAGAGAATGTGAAATAAAGTCGTGGTTTGATCCAAATTGTGTTTGATTATGACACCGTCTTTAGCAACAGCCTCAGCCTTCAAACGGCCACTGAGGTCTTTTCATTTTAAATCACCCAGTGAAAATCTGGCTTTTCCTGTTGGCTTCAAAGCGGTAAGTGAAAAGCTGTAGAAATCATGAAAAATGTTTTGCTTTATAAGCTGATTTTGTGAGAGCCATGAGATCATTTAGCAACGGTGTAACTATTGTTTGGTATTCAAAATAACTTTACTTAGGGAAGTATTATATTAAAACAATGCCAGTTTAATGTCTGCTTTTATTAATTTTATTATCTGAT